GTGCATAAATACTATCCGTATGCCCCAAAAGATAAGTTGACGTCGTCTGACCCGCAGCCCATCTCCTCTCCAATTTTTGTCTAATGCGATACATATCTTTCCAATCTGTATCAGGATTCAAAGCTGGAACACCTTGGCCTGATCCTGGAGTAACTGGTTGACTCATAGCATAAGCCTTTGATTTCTCTCTCAAGAAAGTTTCACGCCAAACATGTTGTGATCCTGCCATAGATGCCCATTTGCGAGAAACCAATTGGACTCGAAGTAAAGAGCGATAATCCAGATGAGCCAGTATTTGAATAGAAAGTTCCATTGGGAGAGCCCCGATGAAATCTATTCTACTAATTGACATATCCTGAGTTTGTGACGGGTCGACGGTTGAATTGACCGCAATTCCAATAGCACTTTCCCTATCATTTTGTTGTGCATCCTCAGAAGTTAAAAATTGATGATTCTTGAAGAGATTCTGGGCAGCGGCAGTAGCTCTAGCGGCTCCACCAGTCCCAACGGGTATTATTGGAGGTGCCCCGCCATATCCGGGGATTGGTGTTGCTAGTTCTGAACAAGAGTCTATCGGACCATCAACATTGAAATGAGGTGAAATAATCCTCGAATTCCTATTGAAACTTGCAGCTTGTCGTAATCTGTTCCATGGTGAAGATGAAGAGGATGGCCTATCTTCTGTAGCATGCGAATGTCTTCTCTTTCTGTTCTTCAAAGATACAGAAGCACGTCTGATTAAACCTCGTATGCCACTCGCACGCCTCGTTTCTAAAGACGCTTCGAACTCTTCCCCAAATGACAAATCTGACATTTGTTCTGATATATCGCCTTCCATAGGAACGGATCCAAGTCTCGCTCTTCGAAAAGGCGTATGATTCATTGGGGATTCATTATCGGGGGTTTCCCATCTCGTAAAGGGAGTAGCGGCGACCAGTTGAGCTGCAGACAATTCGTTATTTGGAAAGATTCGAGCCATTATTGTGTCGTTGCGGGTGGAAGGAATTCTGGTGAATTATGGTGGGTAAATCCGTTGAAGAGTTGGCAGATGGTTTAAACGGTCTTTAGGGTGTTAGGGGTCTTTTGAATAATTGGATCAAAATTGTGGTTCCTGCAGGATGAAGTTGCTGTCTGGGGAAAGGAATAATCGAAACAAACAATGGGCGGTGTGAATGGGGGTTTCCGAGTGTAATTTTAAGACTACCAGAGAAAGAAGTGAAATGAAAAGGATTGATAAAACGATGAATGATTGATGAAATCAAAAGAATGTGATGATGAAGAAGAAGAAGAGGAAGAGGAAGAAGAAGAAGATTGAAAAGGTTGAGGGGAATTTGAGGGAAATGTTAGAGTAAAGAGTCGAGAGTCGAGAGTTGAGAGTTGAAACGTGTAAATGAACGTTTTTTTTTCAATTATGGAGAAATGGAGGGTTACAATATGCAGTAACCAAAGAATCCCTTTTTAACCAAAAAAGACCAAAATAAATAAATGGCATTAATTAATTCTGGTTCGCTGTAATATTTCTCTCAAGGGAGTTTTGAAAGGCAGGGATAAACCTAATCTGAAAGAGGCAAATCTTAACAAGAAAATTGGCTTGCATATGTGTGTTTACTACAGTCGATTCGCTTTGTGATCTTCTTCTAGAAAGGTGCTAGAATATTAGAAACGAAGGAAAAGTGTAAAAATCTCACGTCAACTTTCGGAGGGGCCGTTTGTAAGAAAAGGATGGATGTATGTATGTATGTATGTACAAGTAGATCTTTTTTTCACCGATTATCGAAAAGAGAACAAAGAAAGGATTACTAGGTATATTATCCGAAGTATTCATACGTACAGTCACTACATACTAAATAGGTACAAATATCTGTATCTGAAATAGAAGAGTTCTTTCATTTATTGTTGATGAGAATTATAGACCTTTCTCAAGTAGATGTCATAGCACTAACAAATTCATCTCTTTTATGATCAACATCACCAAATCCCTTTCATCTAAAATTTGGTGGAGTCCAAAGTATGAAAAGATGTCGCCGCTTTGACTATTAAAAACATTCCTAAAATGTTTCAAGTATGGAAATTATCCAGTTTACCAAACTTCATCAATACAATTCATTTCCACTCATCGGGAAAAATAATAAAAGCAGCGCTCAAGTACATACTACACATCTAATAGCAGAAAAGGTACCCGTGAATTCGCCGCATTAAGGAGCCGACCCCTTAGTCGCTGATCCCCCAGACTAAATTCTCATTAGTGTTATGAATTTTTTTTAGCATACAAATTTTTATCGGTAGGTGGGATGAAGAAGTAAATTCGATTCGTGATTATTTATTAGTTTTTGCCTTTACTCTAAAACGATAAACCTTAATGATTCAACGTGAAAGAGTCATTGACATAAACTTTCGATCCAAATCATATCATCTGAATATCAGAATCAGAACCTCCAAAGATAAAAGTCACAACCGCGCCTCCGAAATCGCAAGGTCCAAACTCCAGACTCCAAAGTCCAAATTCCCAATTCCAGACTCCAAAGAACCAACTACCAATCCACCAAACATGACGCAACAACCCGATTTCCGTCTCCCAATGATCTACAGCTGGTTCTTCCTATTAATCGAACCCATCTCCGCCCTAACCGGAGCATACTACGCTCACTTCCGCCCCTTAAGCTATCTCCAACTAACCGATCCCATCTCCTCCCCATACACACAAAACACCATCCCCCTCAGCACCACCATCATCCTCACCCAACTCGCAAACCTATATCTCCTCTTCGCCATCAACGAAGCCCTCATCCTACGCTGCACCTCGGATTTGCACATCTGGAAAATCGTCCTCGTCGGAATGTTAGTTGCGGATCTCGGGCATCTCTATAGTGTGAGGGGATTGGGATGGAGCATTTATTGGAATTTGTGGCGCTGGAATGCTATGGCGTGGGGTAATGTGGGGTTTGTTTATGTTGGGGCCGCTATGAGGATGGCGTTTTTGAGGGGTTGGGGTTTGGGTACTGAGAGGGCGCAGCAGAGGGCTGTAAGGTCGAAAACTTTGGCGGAGGGGTTGAAGGGGGCTTGATTTATTGGGGAGGTTAGATAATGCCTTTTTTTTTTTTTTTTTTTTTTTTTTTTTTTTGGCTTGGCTTGGCGAATGTTTCGCTTCGCTTGTGGATGGTGTTTATCTTATTGTTTGTAGCTTTTGTGTGGCTTCCTCATCGCACTATCTTATAATGTCCAGTGTGAAGATGCATATAGAGTAAGTTCTTTTTCGACTAAAATATGCGAGCCAAATTTTAAGCCATGGGCAGTGCTAATGTAGAAAGTTATTCTGCGCTTACAGGCGTCAAACCTATCTAACAAGTCCATCTACGTTAAGTTAAGTGACAACAACGATGGCACACCAGAAGAACCGATGAAAACTAGTATTTTCGCTGTCACCTCTGCTGCCATTCCTATATATATACATTATCCCCTTCACTCAAACTCGTGAGCAATAGATCACACTGAAATCAAGGGTTCCCCGAAGGCACCTCCTATTTCTTCATAAAAGAATACAGATATTGAAGGGCTGTAGAAATCCATCTATACTCTTTATTTACAAGACAAGAAACTTTAATAAATTCTAAATATTCATAAAATTCTTTATTCTTCCTGTGTAGAGGAAGGTCTAGTGGATTGACGCTTATATTAAATAATTTTCTAAAGAGAGAGTTCATTTTCTTTTATCTCTTATTAACTTTTTGATAGTATATATATCTAAACTACAATTCTATAATCATCCTTTAATAATAAAAAAAAGAGATAATCCAAAAGTAAAATACTAGAATTATTTTATTATTTATATTTTGTTTATATAAATCTAAATATATATATATAATATTAAAAGATTGGGTGGAAGAGGCCTCTATATTGATTATATTACTACGCGTGTAGGCATATTAATCTCCTCTTGGTATCCTCTGAGGGGACCAATATGCCTGCTTATGGTTCGTCTAATCTAGCCTGTTTAGGTAACCGTATTACTAATCACGACACGTGATTAGTACCGGTAACTTCTATTCCTTTTAACATATAAATATAAAGATCTGAAAGATTCTATATTAATATAAGTGTTTTTAATTATTGTTTTTTATCTCTCTTTATCGATTGATATAATATTATTATACTAAGTTGGGATTTATTAATAAGTATTGAGAACTTATAAAAGAGTTTATGTCACACTCAAGAATACTGGGTAAAGTATCTTGTATTAGAAAATACTAAGCTAAGGAGAAAAGAAGAAGGAAAACAAGAGTAGAGAGTTTTCCTATGATTAAATACAAACGGGGCATGCCACGTGACCCGGAGGTGTGAGGCGTCACAGTTTACTTTTGACTCGTGAGGAGAGATAAAAATGCAAGTTCAAGTTTTTTTTTTCTTTTCATTATAGTATATAATTATTATTGTCATCTCTTAATTCGAATCTGTATTAAGCACTTAAGTATCTAATATCATCTCATTTTTATATCTTCATTTAGTATATAAGATAATTAGATAATATTATCTTCACTTATTCAAATATTAAATCTATTATCTATCTGATCGCAGGATAATTGGGTTTTAATCTTGATTATAGATTATGAACACTAAGAATATATTTCTTTTATAATAGACTGTTGATAGGAACAAGGATCCAGGAGGGGGAATAAAGATGGAAATGAATATACCTATGTGACGGAAATCCCTGCTTTCCTCCCACCTTTATTATATAAGAAACCTCAGGTACATTAACCATGTCCACACATGATACGATTACTCGAGATTGGTATGCGATTTAGGTGACCTGAGGATCAGATCCGGACAAGTACTAGGTATCAATGGTTATCGGTAAAGTAAGATCATTGGAGGAATAAATACGACTTCTTTTTGCCTAGCCATTGCGGCTAGGCCATTCATTTGTGTATATATAGAGTAGCTATCCCCATCTACAGGTGCTCTTCACCTGTAGATTCTAAGTTAAATACAATTGCTGGTCTATAAACACCCTTTTGGTCACAACCTACTTTATATTCTTGTGAAAAATCTCATTTGTGAGATTTACAGAGGATAGGTTGGGTTTATTATCAACTCAGGGTCTATGTATTCTTCTACAATGGTATGTAAGATGATCATGCAGCTATAAAGTAGTGGAAGAAATATAAACTTGAAGAGGCAGTTTTTTTATTGATTGGGGGGAGGGGGGAAAGTGGGGAAGTGGGGAAGTGGTGCCAATGAGATACTAGTCAGCGGAAAGTTCTGAGTTCTGAGGTTGAATTGATTAAATATATCAAGTGCGCTGGTAGTGAAGATGAAAATTTGGTAGTATAATATTTAAATGATAATCTTAGCACAATAGGACGACTACAGCCTGGATATGTCCAAAGAAACTAAAAGTCAAATACTTAAAAACACTGAAATCGCCAACTCGGGAAATTAAATGGAATCCTGCTGGCTTTCGGATTTGTTAACTTTCTTTGAATACTGAACTGAGATTCTGACTTGCGCTGAGACTTATATAGTTGCCGATGATACAGAGAAAGAGTTTGAAGATATTTATATTATTCTTGTTTTACTAGGTAGTCTGGTCTTCTTGCTTCTTATCTTTTGCTTCTTGTTTCTTTTCTTTGTATCTGATCTAGTCCTCTCGACTCTCAATTCTCAAATATCATCCCTCAACTATCATCCCACATCTTTAAACCTACTTCTTACTCTCCTTTACTATCAATCCAAGTCGACGTCAAAAGTCATCAAATCATCACCACCACCTTTCAAACTATTATCACAAAATCATACCCAAGTCTCAATAAGCAAACTCTCCCGGGTTTTTCACATCCTCACTAGAGACACCTACTCATCCCATAATTTCTATTGGTTGCTCGGTTCTCCAAACCATATTCTCTTGTATTTATTTGGTAACATACTCCACTGAGAAATTGTAATCTTAGGAAAACTCTTATTAAATAAATGAAAATATCTTAGCGTCTGGGCTTTAAGACTTATCTTTGGTCTCTCAAGCGAAAAGACTGGTGAATGATCAGCTGCAGACTGTGCTGCTGTAGAGCTTTTGCCATGTAGGGAAGATCCTTATGAGTCAGATATCCTCTCGAACTTCTTTTGATACTATTATCATATTTCAAGAGAAGTGTGTAAGTCGGTTAGCATATCCTGAGTTTGGCTTGTGTAGTGTTGGTGTATTAGTTTAGGCTCTAATACATAAGTATTTGAGATAGCTATTCGAGTCTTGGAATGAGGAAGTAGATTATTGGAAACTCTACACATGTCTATCGGATGAAACTTACCTCAGAGTTTGAATGACCATATCCCAAAAGTCAAGTTGATCCTCAACGAACTGATAATTCAATACTGAAAATAGGATGATTAATAATGAATCCTACACCATTAGAAGTTCTACTCAACATCAGCTTTACTTCTCCAAACTTGGATTCCGCAAAATAGAATTGAAATCGACAAAATATCTCCGAGATTTTCTTTTTGAATATTTCTTATTTAATATATAGATTTTAGTTTTTCTCTTCACCATCACAAGAGAATCAAATCATCTCCCGATTCTCATCTTCCGGCCACGGCAGCTTCATTTGATTATATCACATATACACGCCAAAGATAAAATTCTACCCATATGTATCCAGTTTCAAACTTTCCTCTAATACTCATACTTACCAATGATACCTGTTACCACCATCTCCTCTACACACAAAACCATCCTATATCTTCAAAAACCCCACTCAGCATCCACAAATTTTCTCTACAGACGATACCAAGGGAATCAAAGTGAATATAATTATAACTTCTTCTCACCTGATCCTCCACTTCTACAGTAAGTAAGTAGACTTCGCCTCTCCGTACGTCATCAAAATTAATCTATTATTAATATACAACTCTTTTTCTTTCAAATATTATATACCTATCTATATAAACAACCCCTCGAGCATAAAGGAATGTATAAAAATAATTATATTTGTTTATAGTTGGCTGAAGCCAGATGGGATCTATAAAGTTTAAGTTTAAGTTTATTGGATATTTTGATATCGATATAAATCTGCGAATGAAAAATTTCATATCATGGGGCTACCTAGTGAGAGATATTCTTTTTTTCAAGGAGATTATTGTATACATATCTATTGAGTGGGTATATAGGTGATGACTGACTCGGGAGGAATGGATAATGATCTAGGGATTAGATGAGAGTATTTATATATTAATGATAATAATAAAAATTCTTTTGATGATAATAGAAAATTCAATAAAATAAAATATAAAAAATAATAATAAAAGATACAACACATTAATTATTGAATCAAAAAATCTCCGATACTCCCTTTACTATTATTAAAACATTAAACTCCATCATAAATACTTTTTTTATCCATTATTTATTTAGATTTTATCAAGATTCTATATTAATAAATACTTCACCAAGATATAATATGAGATAATAATTCAAGCGATGTGACCAAAAGGGTGTTTATAGACCAGCAATTGTATTTAACTTAGAATCTACAGGTGAAGAGCACCTGTAGATGGGGATAGCTACTTTTATATATACACAAATGAATAACCTAACCGCAATGGCTAGGCAAAAAGAAGTCATATTTATCCCTCCAATGATCTTACTTTACCGATAACCATTGATACCTAGTACTTGTTCGGATCTGATCCTCAGGTCACCTAAATCGTATACTAATCCCGAGTAATCGTATCATGTGTGAACATGGTTAACGTGGTTTATCAGTATGTGCACCATATCAGCATGTGCACCACTTTTACCTCAATTATTATCTTTCAATTAAAATAAAATTACAACAACATTATAAAATAGAATTAAATTATATACAATCTAAGGATCAATTAATGCTGGATCTAATTGACAAGTTCGTGCATTATGTGAAGTACTACCGCATTTGCTACATCGTCGTATAGTAGCTTGTCTTCTTATTGAAGAATTATCATTTGTATATTCGTCGCATCGTATCTGATC